ATCCACATCGCTCGGGCGGCCGTGACCGACTCCGGCAACTACAGCTGCAGTGCTGGAGACGCCGTCAATACCTCCGTCAGAGTCAATGTTCTTGACGGTCAGTCCTTCCGTCTCTTACTGTCTCTCTCCATAAGGGTCATTGTTCTTGATTGGCAGTCCTTCTGTCTCTTGGTGTCTCTCTCCATAAGGGTCCTATGTTAATGTTTGGTAATTTAACCTTCAGAGAATCTGTCAGTTTCGTGTCAAGCAACTTTCTCTGTGAATCATTTTGTGCCTACATGTCTCTATTCTCCGTTCCTTTCTTCTGTACCCCTGTTTAATCTTTGTATGACTTTAAATGCGTATATCTGAATGATTTTTCTGACTGTCTATACCTCTGTTCCTGTCTCTCTCTGTCTCTGTCTCTCGAGATGTTTGTCTCTCACTGTCATATTGGTCTGTCTTTATCTCCCTCTCTCTCTCTCTCTCTCTCTCTCTCTCTCTCTCTCTCTCTCTCTCTCTCTCTCTCTCCTCTCTCTCTCTCTCTCTCTCTCTCTCCTCTCTCTTCTCTCTCTCTCTCTCTCTCTCTCTCTCTCTCTCTCTCTATCTATCTCTCTCTCTCTCTCTATCTCTCTCTCTCTCTCTGTCTCTCTCTCTGTCTCTCTCTCTCTCTCTGTCTCTCTCTCTGTCTCTCTCTCTGTCTGTCTCTCTCTCTCTCTCTCTCTCTCTCTCTCTCCCTCTCTCTCTCTCTCTCTCTCTCTCTCTCTCTCTCTCTCTCTCTCTCTCTCTCTCTCTCTCTCTCTCTCTCTCTCTCTCTCTCTCTCTCTCTCTCTCTCTCTCTCTCTCTCTCTCTCTCTCTCTCTCTATCTCTCTCTCTCTCTCTCTCTCTCTCTCTCTCTCTGTCTCTCTCTCTCTCTCTTCTCTCTCTCTCTCTCTCTCTCTCTCTCTCTCTCTCTCTCTATCTCTCTCTCTCTCTCTCTCTCTCTCTCTCTGTCTCTCTCTCTCTCTCTCTCTCTCTCTCTATCTCTCTCTCTCTCTCTCTATCTCTCTCTCTCTCTCTCTCTCTCTCTCTCTCTCTCTCTCTCTCTCTCTCTCTCTCACGTCTCACAAGGATCCAGCATCTCACGCTGTCATCTCCAGCCTCGAGTTACTCCTCACACCTTCACTCTGCCTTCTTATCTCAGCCTCTGCTCTGAGTGCAAGTAGAAGCTCTATCTACTAAACATTCTGCTCAGAGTGTTTTTCAACCCATAATTATTTATCCCATGTCGCTCCTAAAATGTTTTCTGTAATTAGAAATGTTTATGATTGTTTTGAGTCGTCCATTTGTTGGTTTGAAATGTCACGACGATTGTTCGTTCACTCATGCTACGATACTCATCTAGCTGTATTCACCATGATGTACTCAACTAATGGTAATCACTCAGTTGTACTCGCCTAGATGTTGTTCACTAGAATTGGTCAGTCTTGTGAATCGCTGAGTGAACGTTCTTCTTAATTACGATACCTGCTTGTGTAACTGTATGACGTTAGTCTGCCCTTATAGATCAGGTCACTGGCTGGCTGGTTTCTCCCGGCATAATGTGTGGTTCCTAGCATGTGTATGTGGCTCCTAGCATGTGTGTGTGGATCCTAGTATATGTGTGTGTGGCTTCTAGCATGTGTGTGTGGCTCCTAGCATGTGTGTGTGGCTCCTAGCATGTGTGTGTGGCTCCTAGCATGTATGTGTGGCTCCTAGCATGTATGTGTGGCTCCTAGCATGTGTGTGTGGCTCCTAGCATGTGTGTGTGTGGGTCCTAGCATGTGTGTGTGGCTCCTAGCATGTGTGTGTGGCTTCTAGCATGTGTGTGTGGCTCCTAGCATGTGTGTGTGGCTTCTAGCATGTGTGTGTGGCTTCTAGCATGTGTGTGTGGCTCCTAGCATGTGTGTGTGTGGGTCCTAGCATGTGTGTGTGGCTCCTAGCATGTGTGTGTGGCTTCTAGCATGTGTGTGTGGCTCCTAGCATGTGTGTGTGGCTCCTAGCATGTGTATGTGGCTCCCTAGCATGTGTGTGTGGATCCTATTATGTGTGTGTGGCTCCTAGCATGTGTGTGGCTCCTAGCATGTGTGTGGCTCCTAGCATGTGTGTGTGGCTCCTAGCATGTGTGTGTGGCTCCTAGCATGTGTGTGTGTGTGTGTTGCTCCTAGCATGTGTGTGTTGCTCCTAGCATGTGTGTGAGGCTTCTAGCATGTGTGTGGCTCCTACCATGTGTGTGTGTGGCTCCTAGCATGTGTGAGGCTCCTTGAATGTGTGTGTGGCTCCTAGCATGTGTGTGTGTGTGTGTGGCTCCTAGCATGCGTGTGTGGCTCCTAGCATGTATGTGTGGCTCCTAGCATGTGTGTGTGGCTCCTAGCATGTATGTGTGTGGCTCCTAGCATGTGTGTGTGGCTCCTAGCATGTATGTGTGGCTCACATGAGTCTCCAGCCTACTCAAGTAGTCCCTCCTGCTGCAGCTGGCACTTCCTGGCCTCCTTAATTAGCTGTGAGAGCTCTGAAGATTGTGTGTACGTGAGTTTGTATATATTATCCATAATACATTATCCATAAGTATACATGACTGACTCAAGTAATCAGTTACGCGTCGTCAATCAACGGTAAAACAGTAGATCTAGTTCAGTAACTATGTTAACCTCGTTTGCTAGAATAGCATAGGTTCTAGAATTGGTTATTAAGGGGACATCCTTAATGGTTTTCTCGATTCCAGTTCTTTTTTCTAAGCTTCCATTCGTTCTGTTTCCTGTTTAATAGGTAGTTCCTCAGTCAGTGTAGTACACTGGTAGTTTCTGTTAGTAGTTACACTGGTAGTTTGATATTTCGTGTTTCTTTCAAGCTGTTTTGGCAAAACTATTATCTACAGTGATGCAATGAACACCATTGTAAGGGGCTTGCAAATGGCATCTCAGTCGTTTTTTTTTTACTATTTATGGAGAGATTCTCTGAGTTACTTTAAGCTTTGTTTCAAGCCCATGGAGCTGATGGCCTTCGTCTCCAAATGTCTGTGTTATCGTCTTTGCTTGGTTCAATCTCTTGAGGTAGTTGAGGTTGTATTAGGAAAACTAAAGATGTTTTGGAAACTCCCTACCTCCGGATCCTTTATTATATGCTAATGTGTCAGAAAAGTGTCATAGAATGATTATATCTGAAAGGTGTGTTTGTGTATTTACACTTGAAATGGTGTAAAATTCGTTGAAAAAAATAAAAAAATAAAAAATCTTCCTTTTTATTTACGCTGCAGAACTGAAATTTGGAATAATTGCAGTTTAATTTTATAATAATTTTTATAATAATTTTCATATATAACTAGTCAAAAAATATTGGTTGACATTGAACAACTTTTATGAAAAGGCTCAGCTTAAGAAAAGGCTAATGGGCTAAGGGGGCCCCATGCCCCCTTAGCTAATCATCTAATTGTATTTGCGAGGCTTGAGCCATTTGGGCTGTGTCATATCTACATTTATATTGTGTATAGAGTCTTTCTCTTCCACTTCACTTCCGAATCCATTCCATTTGGTTCCTTCACCGACACTGGAAACATATATATTTATAATTTACCCTTGGGTCATTTGCATACTTCTTGCTTCGTTTCAAGCGTAATGATGACTCCGGTTTGGAGCTTCATATTCAAAGATTGGTCTCACGTATGTGGTATACAGAGTACAAAAATAATTTTGTATTCGTGTTTCTAAAGGCAGTGTTTGTGTTTGTCGACAGAGATATATTGGTTCATTTGGAGCTATGAGTCCTGTTGGGGCGTACTTAAAGCACGTGGGAATGAGTGACATTGGTGAGACTTCATTAGATTATAGTTAAGTTTGATTGAATATAAATTGGAAATTTCCGTAATCAAGTGTCCCTGCTTTTGTGTGTGTGTGTGTGTGTGTGTGTGTGTGTGTGTGTGTGTGTGTGTGTGTGTGTGTGTGTGTGTGTGTGTGTGTGTGTGTGTGTGTATGTGTGTGTGTGTGTGTACTCACCTAGTTGTACTCACCTAGTTGTGCTTGCGGGGGTTGAGCTCTGGCGCTTTGGTCCCGCCTCTCAACCGTCAATCAACAGGTGTACAGGTTCCTGAGCATATTGGGCTCTATCATATCTACATATCTACACTTGAAACTGTGTATGGAGTCAGCCTCCACCACATTGCTTCCTAATGCATTCCATTTGTCAACCACTCTGACACTAAAAAAGTTCTTTCTAATATCTCTGTGGCTCATTTGGGCACTCAGTTTCCACCTGTGTTCCCTAGTGCGTGTGTCCCTTGTGTTAAATAGCCTATCTTTATCAACCCTGTCGATTCCCTTGAGAATCTTGAATGTGGTGATCATGTCCCCCCTAACTCTTCTGCCTTCCAACGAAGTGAGGTTCAATTCCCGTAGTCTCTCCTCGTAGCTCATACCTCTCAGCTCGGGTACTAGTCTGGTGGCAAACCTTTGAACCTTTTCCAGTTTAGTCTTATGCTTGACTAGATATGGACTCCATGCTGGAGCCGCATACTCCAGGATTGGTCTGACATATGTAGTATATAATGTTCTGAAAGATTCCTTACACAAGTTTCTAAAGGCCGTTCTTATGTTAGCCAACCTGGCATATGCTGCTGATGTTATCCTCTTGATATGAGCTTCAGGGGACAGGTCTGGCGTAATATCAATCCCCAGGTCTTTCTCTCTCTCTGACTCTTGAAGTATTTCATCTCCCAAGTGATACCTTGTATCTGGTCTCCTGCTTCCTACTCCTATCTTCATTACATTACATTTGCTTGGGTTAAACTCTAACATCCATTTGTTCGACCATTCCTGCAGCTTGTCCAGGTCTTCTTGAAGCCTCAAGCTGTCCTCTGTCTTAATCCTTCTCATAATTTTGGCGTCGTCAGCAAACATTGAGAGGAATGAGTCTATACCCTCTGGGAGATCATTTATGTATATCAGAAACAGGATAGGTCCAAGCACAGAGCCCTGTGGGACTCCACTGGTGACTTCCCGCCATTCTGAGGTCTCACCCCTCACTATAACTCTCTGCTTCCTATTGCTTAGGTACTCCCTTATCCACTGGAGCGCCCTACCAGTTACTCCTGCCTGTTTCTCCAGCTTATGCATCAACCTTTTATGGGGTACTGTGTCGAAGGCTTTCCGACAGTCCAAAAAAGTGCAGTCCGCCCATCCTTCTCTTTCTTGCTTAATCTTTGTCACCTGATCATAGAATTCTATCAAGCCTGTAAGGCAAGATTTACCCTCCCTGAACCCATGTTGATGGGTTGTCACGAAGTCTCTTCTCTCCAGATGTGTTACTAGGTTTTTTCTCACAATCTTCTCCATCACCTTGCATGGTATACAAGTTAAGGACACTGGCCTGTAGTTCAGTGCCTTTTTTCTGTCACCCTTTTTAAATATTGGTACTACATTAGCAGTCTTCCATACTTCTGGTAGGTCTCCCGTTTCCAGTGACCTACTATACACTATGGAGAGTGGCAAGCTAAGTGCTCCTGCACACTCTTTCAATACCCATGGCGAGATTCCATCCGGCCCAACAGCTTTTCTCACATCCAGCTCCAATAGGTGCTTCTTGACCTCATCTCTTGTAATTTCGAACCTTTCCAAGGTCACCTGGTTTGCTGCCACCTCTCCTAGCACCGTGACTTCTCCCTGTTCTATTGTAAAGACCTCCTGGAACCTTTTGTTGAGTTCTTCACACACCTCTTAGTCATTCTCTGTGTACCTGTCCTCGCCCACCCTAAGTTTCATCACCTGTTCCTTCACTGTTGTCTTCCTCCTGATGTGACTGTGTAGTAGCTTTGGTTCGGTCTTGGCTTTATTAGCTATATCATTTTCATACCTTTTCTCAGCTGCTCTTCTCACAATAACATACTCGTTCCTGGTGTATGTGTGTTTGTGTGTGTGTGTGTGTGTATGTGTACTCACCTATTTGTGCTTGCGGGGGTTGAGCTCTGGCTCATTGGTCCCGCCTCTCAACTGTCAATCAACTGGTGTACATATTCCTGAGCCTATTGGGCTCTATCATATCTACACTTGAAACTGTGTATGGAGTCAGCCTCCACCACATCACTGCCTAATGCATTCCATTTGTCAACCACTCTGACACTAAAAAAGTTCTTTCTAATATCTCTGTGGCTCATTTGGGCACTCAGTTTCCACCTGTGTCCCCTAGTGCGTGTGCCCCTTGTGTTAAATAGACTGTCTTTATCAACCCTGTCATGAAACAACATTATTATCACTCTCGGTTATCTTGAGGTTATCTTGAGATGATTTCGGGGCTTTTTAGTGTCCCCGCGGCCCGGTCCTCGACCAGGCCTCCACCCCCAGGAAGCAGCCCGTGACAGCTGATTAACTCCCAGGTACCTATTTACTGCTAGGTAACAGGGGCATTCAGGGTGAAAGAAACTTTGCCCATATGTTTCTGCCTCGTGCGGGAATCGAACTCGCGCCACAGAATTACGAGACCTGCGCGCTATCCACCAGGCTACGAGGCCCTACTAACGATGCTTCAGACCTGCGTCTCATTGAGTTCACATTCCAGCACAAGTTGCACCGACCACCTGCAGGGATACATCACCCGATAACACCCTGTCGAGAATGAATTGTTAAAAACATCAGATGATACACTTGAGCCAAATGAATGAGGCGCTCCAAAGCCTCGCTACATAGTCAGAACGAAGCGATTCAGTACAAGTTTTGTGTCACAAAATGGCCAATATTGAACTCCTAACCCGTCACTATTAATTCAATGAAAGCAACTGTCTGGCTCCTGGTACCGAAAATGGTAGTATTTCACAACACCTGTCAACAGCTATCAAGCTTCGTAGATACGAGAAAGTGTTTGTGTTTTAGTAAAAATGCAAAAAAGCTTGAAGCTATTTTTTGTTTGCACCACACATCGCTTTCTCTTGACTCTTTTAACATCAGAGAAAGTGTGTATTATTGAAGGTATGCAAGAGCCTCATTGTTCGCCCTTGCCGCCGCACATCTTGAAAATATCAATATATTCAAGGAGTATGTTGACCAGACCACACACTAGAAAGTGAAGGGACGACGACGTTTCGGTCTGTCCTGGACCATTCTCAATCGACTTTAGAATGGTCCAGGACGGACCGAAACGTCGTTGTCCCTTCACCACGTTGTCGTCCCTTCACCTTCTAGTGTGTGGTCTGGTCAACATACGTCAGCCACGTTATTGTGACTCATCGCCTGCATAAGGAGTTTTTAGGTTTTTAAGCTAAATTTACAGAGCCTACTCATCAATAGTTGTGAATAAATAATGAATAAATTGTGAATATCAATAAAATGCGTTAATGAATTTCATAATTTTTCTTTGCTAATTAATGTGTCTGAAGAATACCTGATACAACTTCCTTATATCTGACTAAAATACTGACATCCTACATACCTTACCTTGTGTTGGTTTCGGGGCTTAGTGTCCCCGCGGCCCGGTTATCGCCAGGCCTACCAAAGCAATTTATTGACTAGACATGTCAGAATAAGGCAAGACAGCCTTATTTTAGTCGCTTTTTTAATAAAAAAGTAAGCTGATTTTATCCTGTGTTATTAACATAAAAGTTTAGTTCTGTTTAGGAATTGTTGAGTTAAATTTCAATTTGGATGAGCTTTTGTTATAAATAAAATATTCTTAAAATTCCTACTAAGAATGACGTTAAATTATTAACTATATCTATACAGGAGAGAACTGAGGTGTGCTTTACTTCAGTGTCTAGCCTCATGTTCCCTCACTGTTTCATGTTCTCTCACTGTCTCATGTTCACTCATTGTCTCATGCTCTCTCATTGTCTCATGCTCTCTCACTGTCTCATGTTCTGTCACTGCCTCATGTTCCCTCACTGTCTCATGTTCTGTCACTGCCTCATGTTCCCTCACTGTCTCATGTTCCCTCACTGTCTCGTGTTCACTCACTGCCTCATGTTCACTCACTGTCTCATGTTCACTCACTGTCTCATGTTCCCTCACTGTCTCGTGTTCACTCACTGCCTCATGTTCACTCACTGTCTCATGTTCACTCACTGTCTCATGTTCTCTCACTGTCTCATGTTCACTCACTGTCTCATGTTCACTCACTGTCTCATGTTCTCTCACTGTCTCATGTTCTCTCACTGTCTCACGGTCACTCACTACCTCACGGTCACTCACCGCCTCTCGTCTGCCCTACAGGAGAGAGCTCGGCAGCTATGCAACACTCCACCACTGACGGAGGGAGTCTCGCCTCCTGCCCCTCCCCACTACTCGCCCTCCTCGCCACCTTCCACCTCCTCGCCGCCAGTTAAGACACGCCAAGTGAACGCCACCAACGCCAACAGTGCGTTGAACGCTAGCAACGATATCAGTGCGTTGAACGCCAGCAACGATATCAGTGTGTTGAACGCCAGCAACGATATCAGTGTGTTGAACGCCAGCAACGATATCAGTGCGTTGAACGCCAGCAACGATATCAGTGTGTTGAACGCCAGCAACGACATCAGTGCGTTGAACGCCAGCAACGATATCAGTGTGTTGAACGCCAGCAACGATATCAGTGTGTTGAACGCCAGCAACAATATCAGTGTGTTGAACGCCAGCAACGATATCAGTGCGTTGAACGCCAGCAACGATATCAGTGTGTTGAACGCCAGCAACGATATCAGTGTGTTAAACGCCAGCCACGCCACCAGTGCGCTTAATGTTTTTAACGCCAAGAGTGCGTTAAACGCTAACAGCCCGTGCAACACCAGCAACGTCAACAAAGCACTAAACGCCTACGAGGTCAACAGTGCGTTCAACACCATCACTGAAAGCCACGCCAGTGAGGACCTGCAAGAGTACAGTGCAACACTGTCGGCGTGTGTGCGTGTAGGTGTGTGTGTGAGTAGTGGGTGTTTGGACATTACATAGATGGTGTAGGAGCAGTGGCTAGTGTACATGGGTATCTTCCTCTATCTCTATCTCTCTCTCAACACACAGTTTTCAAGTTATCATCGCTGCGGGAATGAATGAAAGGCTTGCAATACTTGCATGCAACAGAACGTGAATATATATGTGTACGAACAAGGGAGTGGTTGGTTTCAGTACGTCCAAGATTTCAGTCTGGCGATCTTGGTTGGCTCGTAGAGGCGTGCACCGGCGCCCGTAGTCCAAGGAACACTGGGCCAGCACTCTGCTATGTGGGACCTTTGTTTACGGTGAAGGGGCAACACCTTTCAGAAGTCTTCTTTAAATGCTGGTCCGTGTGGGATGAGAGCTTCTTGTTTTTGTATTTATATTTATAAGAAAATGCAGCAAGCTGTACTATTTTTGGAGAGCTATATATATATATATATATATATATATATATATATATATATATATATATATATATATATATATATATATATATATATATATATATATATGTAGTGTGTATGTGTGTATGTGTGTATGTGTTTGTGTGTTTGTGTGTTTGCTTTTATATGTTTGTGTGTGTGTGTATATGTGTGTAAATGTACTGAAAACTGCAATAAATTTAAATGTTTTACTTTCTTTTCAATGTAATCCTTTTGCAACAAAACATGAACATTAAACTGCAGCACCCATGATACGAAGGTACTTAAGAAATTTCCTGTCCCAGTTTTCTTATTGGTCAGACATTGTCTCACATACACACACACACACACACACACACACAACTACGTGAGTACAACTAGGTGCGTACACACATCCGGGCTTCCGGGCTCCATGGAATCTCTCCTTGGATACTAAAGGAAGGAGCAGAAGCATTGTGCCTGCCACTCTCCATGATGTACAACAAATCCCTGGTATCAGGTGAACTGCCAAAAAATTCGAAAACGGCTAATATTGTCCCGATATACAAGAAGGGTGATTGACAGGAGGCACTGAACTACAGCCCAGTGTCCCTAACCTGCATACCATGCAAGTTGATGGAGAAGATTGTGCGAAAAAAGCTAGTGGAACATCTGGAGCGAAAGAACTTTGTCACACAACATCAGCATGGGTTCAGGGATGGCAAGTAATGCCTCACAGGATTAATTGAATTATATGACAAGGCAACAAAAATCAGGAAAAAAAGAGAGGGGTGGGCAGACTGAATATTTTTGGATTGCCAGAAAGCCTTTGACACAGTGCCACACCAGAGACTAGTGCGAAAGCTGGAGATGCAGTCAGGAGTGAAAGGAAAGGTACTCCATTGGATAAGGGAGTACCTAAGCAACAGAAGACAGCGAGTCACTGTGAGGGGTGAGGTCTCAGATTGGCGAGACGTTACCAGTGGAGTCCCGCAGGGAATAGTTCTTGGACCTATACTGTTTCTGATATATGTAAATGATCTCGGAGAGGGTATAGAATCGTTCCTCTCATTGTTTGCTGACGATGCAAAAATTATGAGGAGGAATAAGACAGAGGAAGATAGTATGAGGCTACAAGATGACTCAGACAAACTGAACAAATGGCCCAACTAATGGCTACAAATGTTCAACGCAAGTAAATGTAAGGTAATGAAACTAAGCGGTGGAAACAGGAGGCCAGAAACAGGATACCGAATGGGAGATGAAGTACTTCATGAAACGGAGCGAGGGATAGATCTAGGAGTTGATATCACACCAAACTTGTCTCCTGAAGCCCACATAAAATGGATAACATCAGCGGCGTATGCATGATGTTAGAGTCTGCAGGTACAAATAGCAGTTACAAAGGTTACAGCCAGAGAAAGGCGAGAAGGCAATAGTGTGGTGATGGTGTTCACCTTGAACCCTAATATACCATCGTTTCAACATTCTATCCATTGAATTGTAAATTTGGTTGTTAATTATTTATTGTAAATGTTATTGGTATAATAAATTAAATTTGTTGATGTGCTAAATTTTATTAGTTAATTATTTTCAAAATTCAATATCCATTAGTCTCTCTTCCTCGCTCTCGTTCTCTCTCTCTCTCCATCATTCTATCTCTCTGTCTCTGTCTCTCTCTGTCTCTCTCTGTCTCTGTCTCTCTCTGTCTCTGTCTCTCTCTCTCTCTCTCTCTCTCTCTCTCTCTCTCTCTCTCTCTCTCTCTCTCTCTCTCTCTCTCTCTCTCTCTCTCTCTCTCTCTCTCTCTCTCTCTCTCTCTCTCTCTCTCTCTCTCTCTCTCTCTCTCTCTCTCTCTCTCTCTCTCTCTCATGCTCTCTGGAAACTAGGAGAAACCAGTAGGGTAAGGCACTATGAGGTATAAGAAGAGGAACCTCGAAGCCTGCTATCAGGAACCAGAGGTGGAATGCTCCAGTACACCACCTGTATACTAAAAGTATAACGACGTAACCTTTGTAATCCTTATTAATGCAGGTATATTTTCTTCCCCCTTTTCACATCTTTCTTTTCTATATTTGACTTATTGATTTGGCTGCAGATTACAGACAATTACTAATAGTCAATGATTATGAATTGAAATTGAATAATGGCATAAATTGTCATTCAATTGTTAAAATTGAAACTGGCTTAATTCATAATTGAATTATGAAACTGGCAGCCATTGGGAATCCTTGTAGTGTCCACGGCCTTACAATTCAACCGTTTGAGATAACTTTTGGCACTTGATAAATTAATACTTCGTCTATTGAGATTGACTTAACCTAATATATTACAAAGGGGAGACTATGGGGGTCAGTCACGGTCTTCAGTGACATGCAGCTGTCAATATAGTGTCTCTGTTTTGCTTCTTCGAGGAGAGGTATTTAATTTGGTTAATTATAGTTCAGTTAGGGTAGTTTAGATTAGGTAAAGGTTGGTTGGGTAAGGTTAGAATTGGTTAGGTTAAGCTTGGTTAATGGTTAAAGTTAGTTAGGTTAGGTTAGAATCAGCTGCATTAAGATTGACATCAGAAAATAATAAAAAAAATCCCTCCTAGGGATTTATAATGACTCTTATCCTGCTGGTAAAAGCACGGAAAAAATCCCCACAGGAGAACAGAAACACCAAGGTATTATGACAGTAAAAATATATATTTGCAGATAAATTAAAAAAAACATATGAAGATAATGTCCCACTCGGTTGAGCACATAACCTTCCGGTATCTTAACTAATATACAAAAATCAGAAATATCAAATAGTCATAATATTCACAATACACTACATACATATACACACTATTCATGTGTCTAGCAACACATGAATTAAAAATGGTTAACTCAAGCAAGATCATCAATGGCACATAGATGCCATTGATGATCAAATATATTCAGAAATAGATTCTGAAATCTAGACTGTATAATACTAGTCCGTAGTCCATCAGAACATTAGGACATCCTGTCAGTTATACGAATATTACTACTACTACTACTGCTAATAATAATAATAATAATAATAATAATAATAATAATAATAATAATAATAATACTAATAATAATATTAATAAATAATAATAATAATAATAATAATAATAATAATAATAATAAAAATAATAAAATAATAATAATAATAATAATAATAATACTAAACAATAATAATAATAATAATAATAATAATAATAATAATAATAATAATAATAATAATAAAATAATAATAATAATAATAATAATAATAATAATAAAATAATAATAATAATAATAATAATAATAATAATAATAATAATAATAATAATAATAATAATAATAATAATAATAATAATAATAAAATAATAATAATAATAATAATAATAATAATAATAATAATAATAATAATAATAATAATTTTTGTTTGCAAGAAGGTACAATAGCTTGGTAAGATCCCATAAGATTGGTATCTTTACATTCATGCAAAAGCCATCAACACGCACAGCGTTTCGGGCAGAAACGCCCGAATTAAAATATGAATCGTGGCTTATCTAACTGTCTGGCGGAGTGAAAATCCCTGAAACCTTGTGTCTCTGTCCAACACAGCTTCCCAGCCGCCATTTTCTGGTCTTCTTGCAGAGGGCGCCCCGTCACTACCGCCCCTTAATACCAAATGTCCAATCCTCATTGAATAATCCCTGAATATCCATTTTAAGGTACTTAACTGGTAGGTCACACAAACGAGCTCAGTTTTTATTTACAAAACATTCATATATATTCTACTGGTTATCCATAATCAACGAAAATATGAGGGAACTACTTTGATGGGCGGAGAGATATGGCCGACTTCCGGCCTACCAGCACCCAGCCAGCTGACTGCCGCCACATTGAACAAATATCTACACCTCTTGCTCTTAATATAATGTCTCTCTCATTCTCTCTAGACAAACTACCACATGAACTTTCTCTACACAAATTACTGCGTACTAGAGATCAGATTCGTAACTATGGCTTTACAGAATGGGCACAACTCTTCAATGTTTGCCTGGGAAGATAACCAAGATAGCGGGAATTGGAAACCTTCCTAATGAAAAGAAATTAACATACTTTAATCCTTCATCTCCTTCACGGCGAAGATTATAGAGTGACGTGACGATGGATAAAAGGTATGATAAAAAAGAATATTTATAAGGTATTAAATATACGAACATAAAACAGAATGCCAAACAGTGGATACTAATTCGCTAAATTTAGATTAATAAATAAGAGAGGGGTAACTATGGAAATGAAAAAAATATTGTTGATTTGGGGAACTAATTTTCTGATAATACGATTTACGTGGATTCGTTGGATTGTTTCAAGCGCAGGTTAGACAAATGGATGAACGTGCAGGGTTGGGAATATATATTTAGGAGTTGACATGGATGGGTCCATACTCTTTCTATGTTGTAACCCATGTTGACCCGGTACCCATGTTGACCCGGTACCCCATGTTGACCCGGTACCCATGTTGACCCGGTACCCATGTTGGCCTGGTACCTATGTTGGCCCGGTACCCCATGTTGACCCGGTACCCATGTTGGCCCGGTACCCATGTTGACCCGGTACCCATGTTGGCCCGGTACCCATGTTGACCCAGTACCCATGTTGGCCCGGTACCCCATGTTGACCCGGTACCCATGTTGGCCCGGTACCCCATGTTGACCCGGTACCCATGTTGGCCCCGGTACCCCATGTTGACCCGGTACCCATGTTGGCCCGGTACCCCATGTTGACCCGGTACCCATGTTGGTCCGGTACCCCATGTTGACCCGGTACCCATGTTGGCCCGGTACCCCATGTTGACCCGGTACCCATGTTGGCCCGGTACCCCATGTTGACCCGGTACCGATATCGAATTAGTATCCAGGTCGCTATTTCTATATCTCTCCGTCTGTGTCTCATATGCTGTCTGTGTCTCTCTCTCCGTCTCACTGTCTCTCCTCCTGTGTCTCTCAGCTGATCCTTCCCTCACCTTGACTCAAGACGCTCT